GTGGTTCAAGTTCACAAGCTGCTCCTTGGAAACCCTGTACAGGGTCACTATGGATTGCAATAGACTCGACAGCACTTTTAACAACAACAACAACTTTAGGTTTGAAACCTGGCCCTGCCACTCCTAGCTGTATGATCTTGAGCAAGTTACTGATTCTTTCAGTTACCTCGTCTGCAAAATGAAGGGTAATAACTATGATAAGATGATTCATAGCAACTGAATAAATTGATGCACATAAAACATTTATCACGGTATCCAGTATATAACTGAAATACATTCTCATCAGATGTTGCTGTTATTCACAGTGAGTGTAGATTTGAGCCTGTGATTGGGAGAGGCATAATGATGACTTGTCATGATGGGGGATAATAACCCTGGGAGTGCTTGGGATCCTCAACCTCCAAGTGGAGAAGCTAGGAAGGAGAGTTGGGGGTGAAATCACTTAGAGAAAGAAAGCTCTCCTTCAGGAAGTAAGAAGAGGAAACTGGGAATGGTAAAGGAGAAGAGGGTCCAGCTTAGACAGAATTCAATGTTGGCTAGTGTAGGCAAGGAGGATGCATCAGGGTGGGGAAGGAAATAAAAAAATACCAAATTTATGGAGGTCAGAGAACTAAGAGTGGACATTGAGTTTGTTCGTTGAGGAATTCACTACCTTGTAAGCACTTGCAGTAGAGCAGAAGTTGTGTATGGTAAGGAGACATGAAGGAAAAAGGGAAAGTTCTATAGGATAAGGAAGTGCTGAGCTCAGTGGAGGAAAAGCAACATTTCTAAAATACCTTTAAAAAATAGTATGGTTTGTTTGTACTAGCAAAATAATTGGTACGATGTACCTTATAAGGTTAGCAGTTCAAACCCACCAGCCACTCTGTGGGAGAAATATGAGGTTGTCTGCTTCTGTAAAGATGTATAACCTCACAAACCCTGTGCAGGGTTGCTTTGACTCATAGCTCAGTGGCAGTGGATGCATGTAGTACAAGACTGCCACACACTGCCCAGTTTCATATTGTAATCCACATCAACAAAACCGTTCAACATTACATCAAACACACTCACATCGGCATGTGCTGAGAGCTGCTGAGCCTGGTGTTGGACTAGGGGTCCTGTGCGAGAGGCCCCTGAGAGATCCTGTCATATTTCAAGATGTTGTACATGCTCCCACATCTACACAACTGGCAGGTGGGACAGGCCATCCTTTCTAAGGAGACCACGTCATTTTGTTTGGACAGGATTGGGATCCTACTTGTATGAAAATGGATGACGTGCTCTACAGCATAGCAGAAAAGGGTAGCAGCATAAACATCCAGGGATGCCCAGATCCCCTGCCATCAATGTGAGACTAGGATGCATAGAGAAGGTTGTGGTTCTCCAGATCTAATGTGAGGGTTTCTGCTCCCATAACTCAACAAGGTGCTATCAGCTAGGAAACAGACTTTATGTGTATTCATAAATGGCACATAGTGAGGGATCATCCTCATCAAGTGATGAGTCCTGTTTGGATATTACAGCTGTTATAAAATTTAAAATTGTGTAGTTATTTATCATGTGGACAATGCAGAAGTACCTGACTTCAACCAAATCTATGAATTACACTATCAGTGTACTGTCATGTTTTTCTTCAGGAACAAGCACATAATGATTGACTTGGCACCGGAAACAACAGGATTAACTGAGCCATGGAGATAAGCAAGAGATGATCAACATCGTAGAGACCATCTACCAAGGGTCACGCAAGACCCGGGGGCTGGTTGAATCTCCAAAGGACAACTCCACCAAGTACAGATGCTGAGCTCTTCTACGTCTGAGCACTCACTGCTCTGTGAGTGTTAGTGGTGCGGAGTCACTTCCGTGTGGAATAGTGTAGACTGTTGAGAGCCTTTGGGAAATAGAAGAGCACATATAGCTCATGGATTTGAAATGTTTTTTTAGAAGTAATGTCTGAATAAATTTTCAGTCGGCCTGCGTGTTGTATTTTTATATTGGCAAATTTTTGTAAATACCTAACTGAACTAAAAAAAATACAAGGTTATAAGTGTATGTTTTTAAGAAAAGTAAAACAAAAAAATAGATCAAAAGCCTTGTGCAGTGGCATATATAGTAATAAATGAATAATTATAATAAATAATAGCTAACACTTAAGCATAATAAATTAAAATAGATTATTGTTGTTGTTAAGTGCCATCGTGTCAATTCTGAACCATAGGGACCCTGTATAGGATTTCCAAGGAGCAGCTGGTGAGCTTGAACCACGAACCTTACAGTTCAGACAACTTTGCAACTGATGCATTACAGCACCACACCACTAACACTTCTTATGTATCAACCTCATTATGTGTTACATGAAGTATAAGTGTTAGTCACCTTTTATAGCTGAGGGAGGTGAGGTAACTTACCCAAAGTCACACAGCCAGCTTGCAAGTGGTGGAGCCAGGATTAAACACAGTTTGACTACAGAACATGTGCTGTCTGCTTCCATTTCTTTTGTTCCTCAATTACATTAGGACACCAGATGTCATTAGAGATCATGCCTGATGCAACAGGAGCAACTGAGAGAAAATTGAACTTGAAAGAAAGGATAAGTGAGAGCAGATGGAGCAGTGTTTCAGAGAGGGTAGTCAGAAAAAGACCTGAACAGACTAGCATTAGAGTGGAAAGTTTATTGACCTTGATGAAGTTCCAAGGCACCCTTTGGTGGATCCCTGAAAGTTACACCTTGTAAGTGGAGAGGAGGGTGCTGACGGGAGCCATATTTCCATCCACTGCTTCTGATTAGAGTTGTTGCCAGAATGGAGTAGGAGGTTGAAAGAAAAGTCATGTTGTCTGTGTTTTTCTCTTGTGAAGATGTCCAGGTCTAGGAAAGGAAATCATCAAGCAATATCATTAATATCACATGCAAGTAAATTTTTTGCTGAAGATAATTTAAAAATTGCTGCCACAGTACATTGACAGGGAACTGCTAGAAGTTCAAGCTGGATTCAGATGAGGACATGGAACAAGAGAGATCATTGCTGATGTCAAATGGATCTTGGCTGAAAGCAGAGAATACCAGAAAGATGTTTACTTGTGCTTTATTGATTACACAATGGCTGTTGACTATATGGGTGGATCATGACAAACTGTGGAGAATGAGTATTCTGGAACACTTAATTGTGCTCCAGAGGAATCTACCTAGACCAAGAAGTAATGGTTCCAACAGAACAAGGGAACACTGAATGGTTTAAAATCAGGAAAGATGTGTGCCAGGGTTGCATTCTTTCACCATGCTTATTCAATCTGTATGCTGAGCAAATAATCTGAGAAGCTAGATTATATGAAGAAAAACATAGCAGCAGGATTGGAGGAAGAATCATTAACCTGCGATATGCAGATGATAAAACCTTGCTTACTGAAAGTGAAGAGGACTTAAAATACTGATGGTTAGAGACCCCACCCTTCTGTATGGCTTGTGTTTCTGTGTAAAGAAAACAAAAATTTTCACCACTAGAAAAATAAATAACATCACAATAAGTGGAGAAAAGATTAAAGTTGTTAAAGACTTCATTTTGTTCAGTTAAATCATCAACACTCATGGAAGCAGCAGTTTAAGAACTCAAACATTTGCATTAGGCATATCTGCTTCACAGGACCTCTTTAAAATGTTCAAGAGCAAAGATGTATGAGGACTAAGTTTGTACCTGACCCAAGCCATGGTATTTTCAGTAGTCTCATATGCATGGGAAAGTTAGACAAAAATAATTGATGCATTTGAGTTGTGGTATTGGAGAAGAATATTAAAAAGAACCTTGGACTAAACGACCAAAGCTGTGTTGGAGGAATCACAACCAGAATGCTCCTTGGAAGCCAGGATGGTAAGACTTTGTCTTTCACACTTTGGATAGGCGGAAAGAATCCCTGGAGAAGGACATCATGCTTCTTAAAGTGGAGGTTCAGTGAAAAAGATTAAAACCCCTAACAAGATGGTTTGGCACAGTGGCAGCAGCAATGGGCTCAAGCTTGAGAACGATCGTGAGAATGGCACAGGACTGGGCAGTGTTTTGTTCTGTTTGTGCATGGGGACGCTATGAGTCTGAATCAAGTCCACAGTACCTAACAACAGCAAAGCAAAGGCTGAGAAACCCAGAGGTGGAAGAAAGAGTGAAGTACAGACATTTTGAATTTGTGGGGTGATGAGAGATAGATGGCACTTAACAGAGTGTCCGTGTCAGACCTCTTTAGTCATTTAGATCAGTGCTTCTGAAACCACCTCTAGGGAAGGACTCTTGTTTTAATGTTGTGGACTGTGATCATTTTGTAAAATACAATAGAAAATGAATTACTAGAAAAATAGAGTATAGAAATGACATAAAAAGCACAAACCCAATGTGTTATTTTATTATTAGATTTCATAGACATACAATTACTGTGGAATTGTTAGGAAAGAAACAATGTTTTTGTACTTAGCCTTTTCATGGGTGGGTCATGGACTTGGGACAAACAGTGGGCCACCTGTTGAATGGTGGGTGGTGGTGGTTATATGCCATGGAGTCGGTTCTGGTGTAGAATTTAGATCCCTGGGAGGGCTGGTTTACAGGGCAGCAAGGTTTCTGAGTCCCTCCCAGTGCCCCACCCAGTGCATGGTACATAATAAACACTCAACAAATTAACGCTTTACACAGTCCCTTTCAAAGATAGTTTTTGTTTGCAGAACAACATGAAACTAGTATCATAGAAAGTCTCTGAAAAAATGAGAGTATTAATAATATCACCTGATGATTGTTATTACTAAGTGCCATCAAGTCACTTTCAAGTCTCCAACACTGTATTAGGTTTCCAAGGAGCAGCTGGTGGTTAGAAATCCAGCGCTTATTCTACAGTTCCATACCTGGTGATTGTTGTTAAGTGAAGGCAGCATTTTAAAACAAAATGTGTACCTTGTTTTGCGATTTTCAAAAGTCACATCTTTGTTGGTTCCCTTGTGATAAGTACACACTAACCTCTGCTAAAATTCAGTTTTTCCCCTTTAGGTTGTGTCCACTGCTAAGGTGTGTGGAGCTGCTACAGAGTCGCCCTCAGTGAAAAGGCTTCGCCTCCTGGTTACTGACAAAGATTTTTCATTTAAAGCTGGCCAATGGTAAGTGGCTTTTCTGTCTTGCAAGTCTGTGTGAACAAGAAGGTGTCATCAGGTAGAGGGATTTTCATTTTCTTATGGAAAAGACTTCTGACCAGCCATTTGCACTGAGGTGTAGGAATTCTAGTCCATTTACACTCAGGGGAGCCTGCCTTGGCATGGAGACTGTAGTTCCTTTCCTGACCTCAGAGCCCACCAAGGTTTTGAATCCATGGTCCTCTCAGTTGGATATAGAAATTGCCGCAGTGAGTTTTTCAGATTCAGACAAAGCAGCTAGTTCTGGTCCATGGATCTGACAGCTCTAATAACGACGTTCTGCAGGAGTGGATGCTAATAGAATGCACTGCAATAATGTGATCTGCTTAAGAGTTATGTGTTGCTGGTTACATGTCCTTTTAAAAATTCGTCTTCTTTATGTCCAACAGAGCAAACTAAGCAGTCTGCAAAAAAGAATAATCAGTTGTGTCGTTAGGAGATCTGACCATGCTCTCAGCTGAATGCCCATTTCATTTACCATAATCATGAACGTCTCTGCCTCCCTCATACTTTGTCTGGGTTGTGTTTTAATATTTTGCTTAATTTTTTATTAGGATTCTCAGCCAGACCTGTCTCCATCCCCCGCCCCAACACACACACACAAATCATAAGCCTGTCCCATCTGACTCTGAGAACTAATCAGTATGCTGACAGGAGAGCAGCCCAGCTGTCCTACTGTTCCTCCCGAAGGGCTTCACTGAGCTGCAATTCAAGTTGAATTGTAAATAAAGCAACTTGTGTTTCCTTAGGATAGGTGTGTTTGGGTGTGTGTGTCCTTTATGTAAATAAAGCATTCATTCCTCAATGAGTTTCTAGCCTGTCAGTCTAGAGAGCATTCCTCTGGAGTCACCTGCCTAATTTTGGCAGTCCATCTGGAAATGTGGCTTTGTTAGAAGGGGGATGTGTGATAATAGCAAGAGTTAGCAGTCTTGTGTTAATAGTTTGTCTTTGAATTTAGAACTAGGAAACAAGATGCTGATTGCAATAATTTGTGTTTGTGGAGCAATTTACTGCAATCTTCCACACATGTTCAATGAGACATATTAAATGCATATTGGGTAGGGATGTCTTAGGGGGTAGGCAATATATTTACCCTTCAAAAATGTTGAACAGTTAATACACTAAAAACTTTCATTGTAATGATCAGTTTCTCCATATTTCCGTTCTGTGCAAATATTTTTGCCCTGCTCATAGATAGCCTTCAATTCTGAATTGTGCTAAGACGGATCCTGGTTTCCTGATTAGAGAAAGTCTGTGCATTTCGTAGAGTGCTGCTCCCATGGTGCGTCTGGAATTACCTGATAGAAAAATGTCATAATTTAGAAATAGGGTCCCATTGTGCTTCTCAAGGTAAAATTTAAAAGGATTGGCACTAAGTTTTCCCTAACAGTAAAAGGATTTGGTCCTTTCACGAGCCTCTGGGACTTGTGCTTCTCAGGGCTGACTTGGAGTGGGGGTAGGGAGTCAGCACTGACTGGTTAGCCTGAACCTGTTCCCTGTAAGGTATCGCCCAGCACTCATTCCTAGTACCTTGGCTCTCCCCCTGACTTAGTGGCCTGGGTTGCGAGTTCTTTGGATATTTGATCTTAGGGTTACAGAATGGCCGTTTGCTGAGGTTGGAGGTGTTCTTCAGTGCTGTTGACTAGGATATCTCGAATTTTAGACTGACTTGGATCATCAGCTTAGTTGTAACCAACAAGTCGCACGGCGTTGGGGAAGAGAGGTGAGTGGCTGTGGTCCAAGGGTGTGCAGTTAGCATTGCTGTAGGGTTGTCTTTGAGGTGAGAGGTTGGGCCAGGATCCCATATGTGAGTGCTTGATGAGCAGCCTCCTCTGACACCTGCACCACTCTGAGGGTGAAGCTCCAGGCCCAACTCTAAATAAATAAACAAATGTACTCTTGTGTCTAGCTGCAGCTGTGGCCAGAGCCCCATTCTACCAGAGACCAGAGGCAGGCCCCAGTGACTGTGCTGCGTTCTTTCTGGGCCGGCAAGAAGGACTGTTCCCTGTGCTGGGAGATTCATTCCAAGAGCTCAAGCAACTCAATCCAGACAGGCCAGAAGAGGAAACAGTTCTCACATGAGCAGGGCTAACCTTCTTGGACTCCTCTCACCAGGTGGTGCAGGGGCTAATGTTCTTGGCTGCTAACTGAGAAGTTAGAGATTTGAGTGTGGTGCTGTGGGTTAATATGCCAGACTGCAAAGCCGTTTGAACTGCAAGGTGGGCGGTTCCAGCTCACCATCTGCTCCTTGGAAACCCTATACAGGGTCACTGTGGGTTGGAATCTACTTGACAGCACTTGACAACAACAACAGAGGCACCTTGAAAGGAAGGCCTGATGATATACTTCTGAAATATCAGCCACTGTATCCCCACGGAGCACGCTTCTACTTTGACACACAGTACATCTCCAGGAGTCAGAATCAACTAAATAGCAGCGGGTTGCTTGTTCCTACCTGCCTCGCCTGTAAACTGATTTTGCAATAGATTATTTAATTGTATTTACCTGTTAATGTACCTCTTGTTAGACTGAGTTTATTGTGAGCAGGAACCAAAACATAGTTTCATCTTTGTGCTTCTCACTTCTTCCACGGTGCCTGGACATTGTAAGCAGGTGCTGTGTATAGAATTTGTACAAGTGAATGAGGGGGAGGGGCTTTGAGTATTGAGGCAAAGCTCTTAGTAAACCGTCATCATTCAACTACAGTTTTCATGTGGTTTCAAAAGTGCTGGTATGGCACTGTAGGATAAGCACTGGACTTCTAACCACAAGTCAGTAGTTCAAACCCACCAGACTCTCCTTAGAAACCCTATACAAGGTCGCTATAAGTTGGAACCGACTCGACAGCACAAACAGTACCAGCAATGCTGTAAAGGGGCATTTTTAAAGGGAGGTAGGTGGTGGTGTGTGTTTAAGCCTAGCTCTAGGAGAGCTGTTCTGTTAAATATGTATTATGAATATTTAAAATTTTTTCTGAAGTCCTTTTACTGAAGGGATTTTTTTTCGCTTGGTTAAAATGAGATCAGTTCACTCACCTGAGTGAATGGTCTTTATCAACATTTTATCAGCAGAGGCTGCCAGAGTTTAGGTGATGATACAGAAATTCATATAGGTGTTTATGGATTGATTGATTTTTAAAAATGATGGCAACGTTGCAGATGCCGTATGCCTCCCCTTGTATCAAACTATATTGTTGTTGTTGAGTGCCTTCGAGTCGGTTCTGACTCACAGAGACCCCGTTTAGGGTTTCCAAGGAGCAGCTGGTAGGTTTGAACTGACAACCTTGTGGTTCGCAGTCCAGTGCTTATTCTACAACTGTTGCCTGTCTTAAACTTTGTATCTTGTCTAAAGTTAAAGGGAAATTAAAGTATTCATGGAAAAGAGTCAAGAAAAAAAATAGCCTAGGGACCTTTCTGGAATGGACCACTTCCAGTCCATAACTGACTTTAAAACAACAACAACAAAACACTATTTAAAAAAAAAAATAAAAAGACCAGATATTTAAAGCTGTAGAACAGTAGAGAACATCTTGTGCTTTGCATGTAAGTCTGTAGCTAGGAAAATGATACTTTTTTCTCTTTGATTACTGATAGATACCTAGATTGAATATTTAAGGAAAATTTTATAACCTCAGAAAACTTACACAGGGCCACTATGAGTCAGAATTAATTTGAGGACAGAATTTGTTTTTGTTTTTTGAGATAATGGGATGAGAATTTTTGGTGTTCCTAGGTTCTGTTCATTTCTTTCTTCCTTGATAAGTGACCAAACTTGTTGCAATTCCCAGAATCCCCTTCAAACAAAAGGGCTTCTGTGGGATAGACTTAATGAAGACCTGAAACTTAGAGTTCTGTACTATAGAAGTGTAGTTAGAAGAAAAGAGGGATACAGGAAGAGACTTTAGGAACACAGAAGGTCACATCAACCTGTTTGATCTGGCAACTGCCCCTGTAAAAGAGTATTTGAGGTCCCTCGTGCAGCCTTTCTTTGCACTTCTTTCTTTTAAGCAGCTTTTATTGAGAAATGATGCATATATCATAGAACTGACACATTGAAGATGTACAATTCAAAACAACCAAATTTTGGTACATTTCCATCATTTCATAAAAACAACCCTGTGTAACCAGGAGAAGATTGTTAATCACCTGCCACTAACATAGCCAATACTTAGAGACAGGGCACAGAGCAAAGAGCAAAGCATCTATTGTGTGTTGATACACAGAAGAACAGAGGATCTAGAATCTCCCAGATCTACCTTCCTGAGGGAAAAAGGAAGGAGGACATATAAGGGTCTTGGACCTAGACTAGGGTAGGAACCCGAGGGATCTTAGAGACTTCTTTGCTACTCTGTTTATTTGAAATTGAGCTGACTCCTATTGGTTCCCACAGGCAGTGTTGACTTTCTCCCAGTAGTGGTTAGCAGTGGCCTTCACAGGAAATGTGTAGCTTTCTACCTTCATTCCTGGGATAGTCCTTAGGTGGGGGGCTAGCAACCTGTTAAAAGGCAGTTAGGGAAGCTAGCTAGAAGGGGGAATTACTAGAGTTGCACTGCCAGGCTGGCTGCCCAGGACTTACTCACACCTGAAATTGGACAAGCTAAGGAGCTCTTAGTGCTTCCGGCACACTCCTAGTTTCCCGTCTATACCCGTTATCTGTCATTCCCCTACCTCCTCTCACTGCTTTATCTTTAGACAACCACTTGCTTATATCTTTATAGATTTTCCTTTCCTAGACATTTCATATAAATGAAATCATATAATATGTGCTTTTCTGCAACTTGCTTTTACTTAACATAATATTTTAAACCACCACTCGTCTGTCAGTTTGTCACACTGTGGTGACTTGTGTGTTGCTTTGATGCTGGAAGCTATGCCACTGGCATTTCAAATACCAGCAGGGTCACTCATGGTGGACAGGCTTTAGTGGGGCTTCCAAACTAAGACACACTAGGAAGAAGGATGTGGCAATTTAATTATATATATATATTTAACAGGTTAGTAAAAACCTTATGAATGGCAGTGGAGCATTGACTGATTTAGTGATGGAAAATGAATCCCTCAGGTTGGCGGTCACTCAGAGTATGACTGGGGAAAAGCTGCCTCCTCAAAGTAGAGTTGATGCGGATGGAGGAAAGCTGTTAGAATCTTTATTTGCTGGTGTGGCATGATTCAAAATGAGAAGAAATCTCTGCAAATATTCATTAATAAACAATTTGAAATATACAAAGTATGAATCTAGGAGAACTGGGAGTTGTCAAAAATGAAATGGAACACTTGGAGATATATATCCCAAGCATTGTTCTTGTTAAGTCCCATTGAATCTGTTCCAATTCTCAGCAACCCCTTACACGGTTTCCAAGAAGCAGCTGGTGACTTTGAACCACTGACCTTGCGGTTCAAACCAGCCTTGTTGGTCCAGTGCTTATTCAGAGCCATTTTGCATATGGTTGTCCCAGACAACCCCCCAAAAGGAAAGAAAAACAGAGGGAATGGAAGCAAATATTGTTGAATAATGATGCACGGAGGAGATTGTCATCATTGCAATGAAACGATAGTGTAAAGCCAATGTTCTCCCATGTAAACTATCACTCAGTTCACAATAAAAACAAAACAACCAAAAAGAGATTATATCATCCACGAGTATAAATTATTTACTTCCTCCTTCTAACATGGATACTTTTATGTCTTCTTACTTAATTGTCCTGAACCTCTAGTACATTATTGAATAGAAGTAGCAAACATAGACAGTCTTGTCTTGTTCCTCTTCTTAATGAGGAAAACTCTTGATCTTTCACTAATAAGTATATCAACTGTGACATTTTCATAGATGCCTTTTATCAGGTTAGGTTGAGAAAGTTTCTATTCCTAATTGGTGTTGGATTTTTTCAAGTGCTTTTTCTGCATCTAGTGAGAGGATTATGTGGTTTGGTCTTTATACTATTAATGTGGTGTTCTTAATGATTAATTTTCAGTTCTGAAACCAACCTTGCATTCCTAAGATTTTTGTGTCTGTATTCATTGGTGTGTAGTTTTCTTGTGATATCTTTGTCTGGTTTTAAGTATCAAGGTAATATTGCCTCATAGAATGAGCTATGAAATGTTACTTCCTCTCTTGTTTTTTGGAGAATATGTGAAGGATTAATACTGATTTCTTAAACACTTGGTAGAATTCTTCAGTGAACTCATCTAGGTTTGTGTGTTTCTGTATGGGAAGTTTTAAAACCACTAATTCAGTCTTTTGATTTGCAAAAGGTCTATTCAGGTTTTCCCTTTTTGAGTTATTTGTGCTAGTTTGAGTCAATTTAGGAATGTGTCCATTTTATCTAATGTTGTTGACTATTGTTTATCCATTATAATCTGTTTTATTTTTGAAATCTTGGTAGTGATGGCCCCTTTTTCATTCCTGATTTTAGTTATTTGGTCTTTCATCATTTTTCTTGATGAAGCTAGCTAAAGGTTTGTCCATTTTGTTGCTTTCTGTTGCCCATTTAAAAAATTGCATCAGCAGTAATCATTTGTTTACTTTTCTTTTTAGGGTTGATTTCTTTATCCCAGGAGTCTCTGTGGTCGGTGGGTTCTCAATATGCTCAAGCCCCAGACTACTAGAACAAGAGAGAATAATAGAATTGGCAGTGAAATATACGAATCACCCACCTGCTATCTGGATTCACAACCAGGTGAGAAATTTGCCTGCTTAACCTTGGCCATGTCTGCCGTCCACAAATGTGTACTCAGTTCACTTGATCCACCTACGAAACGTAGACTTGAGTAAAAAGGGTACATTATTGTTGTTAGGTGCCATTGAGTTGGTACCTGCGCATAGCATTCTGCATAATGGAACGAAACACTGCCTGACCCTTCACCAGCTTCACAACGGTTGCTTCATTTAAGTCCATTACTGTTGCTGCTGTGCCACTCCATCTCATTGGGGGTCTTCTTCTTTTTCTACGACCCTCCATTTTACCAAACATGCTGTCCTTCTCCAGATACTGGTCCCTCCTGACATAATGTACAAAAATATGAGAGACGAAGTCTGGCCATCCTGTCTTCCAAGGAGCGAGCACTCTGGCTGTACGTCTTCCAACACAGATCTGTTTGTTCTTTTGGAAGTCCATGGTACTTTTAATATTCTCCTCCAACATCATAATTCAAATGCATCAATTCTTTTATGGCTTTCCTTATTCACTGTCTAACTTTCACATGCATATGAGGTTATTGGAAACACCATGGCTTGGGTCAGGTGCACCTTAGTCCTCAAACTGACATCTCTGCTCTTCATACTTTAAAGAGGTCTTGTGTAGCAGATTTGCCTATGCAGTACGTTGTTTAATTTCTTGACTGCTGCTTCCATGAGTGTTCATGGTTGACCCGAGCAAAATAAGTCTTTGACAACTTCAATCTTTTCTCCATTGATAAGAATGTTGTTTATTGGTCCAGTGGTGAAGAGTTTTGTTTTCTTTAATTGAGATACAATCCATACTGAAGGCTATGGTCTTTGATCTTCATCAGTAACTATTTTAAGTCCTGTTCACTTACAGTAAACAAGGTTCTATCATCTGCATATCACAGGTGGTTAATGGGTATTCCTCCAATCCTAGTGTCACACATTTTTCTTCATATAACCCTGCTTCTCAGATTATTTGCTCAGCATATAGATTGAATAAATACGGTGAAAGAATACATCCCTGGCACACACCTTTCTTAATTTTAAACCATTGAGTCCTGAACAACTGCCTCTAATGTAAAGGTTCTTTATGAGCACAATTAAGTGTTCCAAAATACTCGTTCTTCATAATGTTGTCCACAGATTGTCATGGCCCACAAAACTGAAAGCCTTTTCATAGTCAACAAAGCACAGGTACACATGTTTCTGGTATTCTCTGCTTTCAGCCAAGATCCATTCCTCATTCCATGTCCTCTTCTGAATCCTGTTTGAACCTGTCTGTTCTCTGTCAGTGTATGGTTGCAGCCATTTTTGAATTATCTTTAGCAAAATTTTATTTGTGATATTAATTATATCTTCCAGTGATTTCTGCATTGTGATCTGTTGGGTCACCTCTCTTTGTTGTTGTTGTTAAGTGCCCTCGAATCGGTTCTGACCCATAATGACCCTGTGTAGTATTTCCGAGGAGCAGCTGGTGAGCTTGAACCACCGACCTTGCAGTTCAAACGGCTTTGCAGTCTGACGCATTAACCCACAGCGCCAAACCAGGACTCCCCCTCTCTTTGGAATGGGCATAAATATGCATCTCTTCCAGTCGGCTTACTAGTTAGTTGTCTTCCAAATTTCTTGGCATAGATGAGTGCCTCCAGTGCTGCATCAGTTTGTTGAAAGATTTCAGTTTGTATTCCATCAATTCCTGGAGCCTTGTTCTTTGCCAGTTCCTTCAATGCACCCTGGACTTCTCCCTTCAGTGTCAGTGGCTCTTGATCATATGCTACCTCTTGCAATGGTTAAACATTGAACATCTCTGTCTGGTACAGTGACTCTGTATATTCCATCCATCTTCTTTTGATGTTTTCTGCATCATTCAATATTTGGTCCACAGAATCCTTCAGTATTGCAAGTTGAGGCTTGAAATTTTTCTTCAGTTCCCCTCAGTTTGAGAAATGCTGAGTGTGTACCTCTCTTTTGGTTTTCTAACTCCAGGTCTTTGCACATTTCCTTATAATGTTTGGCTTTGTATCTCTAGTTGCCTGTTGAAATGTTCTATTCAGCTCTTTTATCTCCTGGTTTCTTTCATTTGCTTTAGCTATCAGTGCTGGAGAGCAAGTTTCAGAGTCTCTTTTGGCATCCATTTTGGTCTCTTCTTTCTTCCTTGTCTTCTTAGTGACCTTTTCCTTTCTTTCTGTATGGTACTCTTGTTGTCATCCCAGAACTCTTGGTTTTTCAGTAATTAGGGCTTAATGTATCAAATCTGTTCTTGAGATGCTTTCTGCATTCAGGTGGGCTATGTTCCAAGTCATATTTTGGCTCTGGTGGACTTGTTTTAATTTTCTTCAGTTATAGCCTGAACTTATATATGAGCAGTTGATAGTCTGTTCCACAGTCTGTCCCCAGCCTTGTTTTGGCCGATGATATGGAGGTTTTCCACTGTCTCTTTCCACAGATGTAGTCAATTTGATTAGTGTATGCCATCTAGTGAGGTCCATTTGTAAAGCAGTCCTTTATGTTATTTAAAAAAGGTATTTGCAATGAAGAAGTCATTGGTCTGACAAAATTCTATCATACAATTCCCAGTATTGTTTCTATCACCAACTACTGTTCCTTCCTCTTTGTTTCCAAGCTTTGCATTCCAATCACCAGTAATTATTAATATATCTTGATTGCATGTTTGATCAATTTCAGACTGAAATAGTTGGTAGAATTCTTCAATTTTATCATCACTGGCTTTAGTGGTTGGTGTGTAAATTTAAACCATAGTCATATTAAACGTTGTACCTTGTAGGTATGTGGATATTATCTTATCATAGACAGTGCTGCACTTCAAGACAAACGTGATATGTTCTTTTTGATGATGAATGCAACACTGTTCCTCCTCAATTTGTTATTCCCAGCATAGTAAAAACCATGTGATTGTCATATTCAAAATGGCCGATGCCAGTCCATTTCAGTTCAGTAATGCCTAGGATATTGACGTTTAGTGCGTTCCATGTTATTTTTGATAACATTCTATGTTCCAAGTACTAATTGATGTTTACAGCTGTTTTTCTTCGTTTTGAGCTGTGCCCCATCAGCAAATGAAGGTCCTGAAGGCTTTATTCCATTTGCATCATCACAGTCAACTCATCCTTGAGGAGGCAGCTCTTCTCCAGTCCTAATTTGAGTGCTTTCCAACTTGAGGGTCTCATCTTCTGGCACTGTATCTACCAACAGTCTGTCGCTCTTCCTCATATTTCAGTATTCAGTATTCTGGTGCTCACAGTATTCCACTCTTATTCATAAGATTTTTAGTGACTAAATATTCAGAAGTAGTCCATCTGTCCTTCCTGAAAAGGGTGTATACACTGTACTGTCATTGTGTATGTGTAAAAGGGTGCATACATGGTCACAAATAGTTCCTCTATATTCAGAATTCAGATGCCAGAGAATATTCAAAGCAGCAGAATCGTGATGATATATTAAGGATGATTTATAGGTTTTGGAATCTGGAATGTTCTGTAGCTTACCAGAAAGAATTTAAGCATTCTATGTTATGTGAAAACTTTTTATGAATTGGCACTTTGTAAGTCATGTAGATGGTAAGTCAGATGATTTTATTCTAGGCTTTATAAATGAAGGGAAATGAATGACCGTTCTGTCACTGTTTTGCCTGTTAGCATCTCTGGTTGCATAACATTGCTGGTGCCTAGAGCTGAGCACCAGTGAGTACTGAGTGCCATCTCATGTCCCTGGACCACACTCAGGGATTCGGAGAGGGAACCCCTAGTGGACTGTGGCTCATAACTCATGTTTCATCTCAGGTCACAACACAGTTGTGACAGGCAGCCTGTCCTTCACCCACTTGAACTAGAATAACAAAGAATGGGTTCACAGCGTTCTTCCAGGAGACCCTTGTTTTCTTTTCACTGTCATCCTTTCATTTCTAGAGTATGTCTTCTATATTTACCAGTGACCTCTACCCCGTCCCAGACATTTCTTATCTTCTTGACCAAAAGGAATTGACCTGTACAAATATGGCTTCATGAACTTAGCACTTTTCTCTTCTTTTCCTGGAAATCATGCCCAAATCAACAATGGAAAACAAAAACTCTCAATTTTATTTTCAGCAGAACTTGGAAACAGATGCCAGTATTCCAGATAATAGTTGTATTTTTGTAGGAATCTGATATGGCGCTGTTGGATAAGCACTCTACAGCAGTTCAAAATCACCCAGCTACTCCCTAAAGAGACCCTATACAGGGTTGCTATGAGTTGGACCAATTCTATGGCACTTAATACCACCACCACCACATGGAAGTAAATATAGGAGAGCCCAGCAATAGCAGATCTTGCTGTTGTTGATGTTGTTGTTGTTATGTGCTATGGAGTCGGTTCTGACTCATAGTGACCCTCTACAGGGTTTCTGAGGCTGTAAATCTTTATGGGAGCAGAAAGCCTCATCTTTCTCCCACAGAACAGATGGTAGTTTTGAACTGCTGATCCTGAGGTTCACAGCCTGATTTGTAACCACTACGCTACCAGAGCAGATCTTAAGGGACCACAAATGAGACTACACACTGGGAAGTGGGGACAAAAACTATAGCCGCTTCCTACAGAAGAGGATGTGGAAACAGGGTTGAGATAGTGGCCACAGAAGTCCCAATTTAGGTTCACTTAGGAGGCAGTGTATACAAAGAATTATACAGGCAATCCATATTTGTAGGAAGCAATTATGTCCTCGTAGTGACTGAAGAACTCATTTTTATTATGAAAACCAGCAATTTTAGAACACTACCCTGACCTCATACCACCGAAACTTGCAAGTGGTGGTGGTGGTGCTTATGTGCCGAGGAGTTGTAGTTGTCCGAAAAAACCTAACTCATCTCAGTGTCATGAAAGAAAACTGAAATAAATGGAAAGAGAGATACTATGTGTGCATAGATTGGGAGACTAAATTTTTACCAATCAAAGTAGCAGCAGGAATTTTTGTTTATATACAGAAGCTGATTCTAATATTACACAGAAAGGTAAAGG